ATCATCCTAGAGTTGAAGGAAAGTTAAGGTGTTATTCATGTCCATTGTGGCCTATGCTCGGGTCTCCTGTTGAAACATTTCTTATTCAGTAATAATAATAATAAAAGCAGTTTTTACTGAGGTGTTTACCAACTGCTAAGAGGGACTGAGAAGTAGAAGATGTATACCTTGCCTTTAAGGCATTTATAATCTGGTGAGATTAGCAGGGACGGGGGAATCACTAAGCAAGATTCAAGATGGTGGAAGAATAGCCGTGAAGGTGTGTGTGTGCCGGGGGAGCTAAGGTGTGTAAGCGCCTTGGAACTTGGTGGGAGGAGTCAACCCTCAGCCAGTGAGGTTTGGGGAAAGTGTTCTTGGGGTGTAAGGATCTGGAAGTATTTGGAAAGGTGCAAAGGACTCCAAAGATAAAGGGGAAACATTCCAGGGATTTGAGATTCTGAGAAAAGAGTGAAGATGATAAATGTTAAGTCATGTTCATCGAGCAGCCATTGCACATAGATTGTAAAGCAGATAAGGCTGAAAAGGAAAAGAACAAAACAAACTCTCAGAATTAGAAATCCTGATTACTGATCCGGGAAAGTGGAAATGACAGCACTGCTTGTCAGCAAAATTATTGCTTTGATAACAACCGGGCATTCACAAACTCAGTGGAGGGTGTGTGGACCATGCGGATTGCAGCTCGAGTGTAAGGCTAACTTGCAAACCCTGTGTGTTTTGTATTTCACTAGCTAGCACTTCGTTTAGCAACTGTATGGAAGATTGCCTTATATACTGACCTTGCCTTACAGAAAGTCTCTGGAGCCACCTGCCAACTGAAATAAAGCAACAAAGAGGGACATGCCAAAGGATGCCACATGACAACATCTGCTACCAAAACGCTTGTTCCAGAAGTGACCAATAGAGGGTTATGACTAGTTCTTCACTATGGATTTATTAAAATCAGAAGAGACACACAAGGGGAAATCCAATTGGGCTGGACTCGAGGTACTGGTTGACCATTCAGTAGAGTGGCTTCTGTAGCATGAAGAGGGAAACCTAGGAGCAGAATGTGAAATGTTGAAAAATGGCACCTAACCCTAACCCTATGGGGTGGACTCAACCAAGTGGCCGGGGCAGAAGACTGCTGTGCATGAGGCAGCTGCTGTTCCTCCAGCAGGTGTAATTCCGACATGGCTAAGCATTCAGAGCTGGAGTGGGCCATACAGTTTATTTAGCCCAACTCCTCATCGAAAGAAACATCTCGATGCTTAGGTAAGGTTGTGTAAGTGATCTGCCCGAGACCTCTCACTGCTGTTAGGGAATGGCTGGGAGACCCAGTACTAAATCTGTCTGCTTTGCTGACACTTCTGCTGTTACTATTACTTGAGGACATAAGAACGTCCTTTCGAGGGCTTGTGGTTTCTCTCTCCTAGAGGCAAATCTTCTCAAGACTAAGGCACCAGTGTCATTCTCAAGGGTAACATATCCTCACTGCTGAAGGTCTGAAGAATCATCAGATATGGCTATGGACAGGCAGGTATCAACAAAGACCAAATATCATTTAAAAGAGTTGAGGTACACTTTAAGAAGTAAAACTTAGACCCTGCATCTCTGTCTACCCACAGGCCTGGTACATACACCTGCACAACCCCAGGGAACGCCAGTCACCTGGAGTTTGATGGGAACAGTGTCCCCTGCAGTTGGGCAATTTGAAGTTGGCTCATGACGATTGCAGGTTTATTTCTGCCAGACTCTCTCAGAAGTCAGTACATTTCCTTAGTTCTAATGTTATTTTTCTCTCAGTCCAAGCCAGAATCCTTCCTGCATAAATATAAAAAGCAATTTCTTTCTGCCTGATTTCCCAGTGCCTGTCTTCCGTTTCTGGCAAAATAGCACCTCAGCCTGGGTCTCCCCTCATGGTTTCTAACGTCAACAGAGGCTTCTTGCTTGTTTATTTAAACATCACTTCCATATCCATTTTCCTGTCCGTCCCTCCATTTCTTATCTATTTTTACATACTCATCTATATGGTATTATTTTTATAGTTACTATTAAAATAATCTATGTGACCATAATTTTAAAAATTTAATACCAACAAAGGCTTAATATGAAACCCAATAGCATCTCTGTCCCACTTCTGACACCCTATTTTGTCCAGTGCCAACTGCTCCTAACTTTTTCAGCTCTTTTCTCATGTACCTACACATTTACAAATAATTTACTAATATTGCTAATTCTTGATTTATCTATTTTAGATATTATCTACTTACCTCATTTAATAGTGCTGAAGCTTTTCTCTGAAGGGAAGAGAGGTAGTCACTCTCTTCCCTTCTCCCTTTTCTTTCAACATATTTATAAAACATTTTCATGTTTATAGTCCATACTCAGGGTCTACATTATTGTGACTATGTAAATATTGTTTACCACTGAGCTAAATAAGTACTTTATTTACCTTGAGTTTGTTGTACTTTTTCCCCAGAAGTTAATAACTATCTTTTTTTTATTTGCTTAGTATTCTGTGAACCTATCGTTAATTTTCTTCAAATCCTCTGACAGCTGTGTGAATGTTCCTCACACAGCTTTCCACAAGTCACAGATATTAAATAAGCCAGAATTTTCCCACCTAAATCCACTCCCAGCTTGAAGACTTTTCTCCTGGAGTTCTCCTGCTGTCTGTACTGGTTGCTCCTCGGGTTCATTGTATGGTTGTCTTGGGATTCCTTGTCCTCGTTTTTCTGGGATTTATTTTTCCCCACTTTCTCTTCCTGGATTCCAATTTTGTTTTACCTTGTTAACCAAGAACGAATTTGGGGAAGCACTAACTCCAGTTAGCTTGTTGAGAAAGGGTATATAGAAGGTACATTTCCTTTGTCTTTGTTTATCTGAAACGTTCTTTATTCTACTTTCATACTTGCTTAAGAGCTTGCTTTGGTATAGAGGTAGACCGAAAATTGTTTTTTCCTTAGAATATCAAGTATATATTGTTATGAGGCCTCAGTGGTGCTAGTAGGAGACATGATTCCATTTTTATTCCTTGTCCTCTGTGATAGGAGAAATAATTTCCAAATGTCCATATATAGTGAAGGAGTGATCCATATCCTAAGTGAAGTATCTCAGGAATGGAAAACCAGACACCATATGTTCTCACTAATAAGTGGGAGCTAATATTAGGTCATTAAATATGAAATGTGTGATTTCAACTCAAAAGTTTAGTTTATTATATCTCAAAAAAGAAGTGGTACAATTAATCAAAGTATGCGCCCAAACTGTTGACACAGTTTTGACATCTTCATGGTGGCTTGTTTATTCCAGCAGTGAAGAAGCCTGGAGAGCAAGTGGCAATGAAATCACAAAAGGCATTTTCCATAGCTTGTTGAGAATTGAATATTTTTCCTTGCAAAAAGTGGTCCAAAGCCTGGAAGAAGTGGTAGTCAGTTGGTGCAAGGTCTGGTGAATACAGTGGGTGACAGAGAATTTCCAAGTCCAGCTTCTATAGTTAGACAGTGTTGTTTTTGTGACATGTGGTCTTGCAAGAGGATTGGGCTGTCTCTATTGACCACTGTCGGCTGCTTAATCACAAGCATCTTCATCATTTCTTCCAATTGGTTGCAGTAGGCATCTGCTGTAATTGATTGAAGGTTTCATGAAGCCATTGTGGATAATACCAGCATTGGACTACCAACCAGACACCATTATCTTTTTTTGATGAATATTCAGTTTTGGACTGTGTTTCAGCACTTCATCTTTATCCAACCATTGTGGCTAACACTTGCAATTGTCAAAAAGAATCCATTTTTCATCACATGTAACAATATGGTGTAGATATTTTTCACCTTTATGTCGTGACAGCAAAGAAAGGCAAGCTTTGAGACGATTTCTCTTCTGATGCTTGTGTAATTCATGCAGAACCCATCTATCCAGCTTCTTTACCTTGCCCATTTGTTTCACATAGTCCAATATTATTGGAATAGTAATGTCAAACCTCGCTGCTAATTCATGCGTAGGTTGAGATGGATTCGCTTCCACTACAGCTTTCAGCTCATCATTATCCTCCCTGGTCTCAGGTCACCCATGTGGCTCATTTTCAAGATTAAAATCACCAGAGTGGAACTTCTCAAACCATCGACGTACTATGTGTTCATTAGCCACATCCTTCCCAAACACTTCATTGATATTTTGGGCTGTCTGTGATGTGATGGAACTGATACTAAAAAATAACATGAATTTTGACTTATCCATGGTTTCACAAAAATTGCTATAAAAAAATAAAACTTTGAAAGATAATCACAAGCCAAAACATGCATTTGAAAGAATGAGGATGTACCTTCACAATAAAAAACAAAACAAAACAAACAACAACAACAAAATACAAAAAACAAAAAACAAGAAGTGTCAAAGTGGAATGTCAGAGATGCCAACTGTCAAACTTTGTACTTAAGGAAATCAGACATTTCATAATTAATAACCTGATAGATGGGCACACATGAGCACAAAGCGATATGCAGGACATGAGAAACCAAGGAGGGGGGCAGGAGGCTGGGTGTGGGATCAAAACTTCCCTATTGGGTACAGTGAACACTATTCTAGCAATGGGCACATCCAAAGCCCTGACTTAAGCATTATACAAGATATCCGTGTAACAAAAAACACTTGTACTCCCTGAATAAAAAAGGTAAAAAAGAAGTGACACAATACAAAGCTAACAGGAGACTCTGTGTGCATGGGATGGCTTGTCCCTCGGTGAAGTGTCGTCAGGAGATGAGCTGGCTTACTTGATGAAGAGTATTTCAGATAGAGTCTCTGTGGATTTTGTCCTCAGGCCAGTCAGTGTCATTGGAAAATTGTCTTTCATTCTCCTGCCTGGACGGTGTATGTCTGGACACTGGTGTTCTGGGAGTGAGATAGGAAAGACACTGGGAACTCGGGCTGCCACCTGACTGCCTTGTTTTCAGCCCAGTGTTCTGTTGTTAGCTGAGCCTGAAGATTCTCTGGTTCAAGTTCTCTAAAGAATGTATGTTCACCCTCCTGGAAAGGGTGGAACAGGGGACGCACTGGGTGAGGCCAGCAGGGGAGGGCTCATGCTTAGTGGCCGGGGCAGGGTGATGGGAGAGACGAACACCTGCCGTGTGTAGTATCAGTACTACATACAGAGACTTTTAGCCAGCACTTCTGCCCAAGCCCACGCCTTACCCCGTCTCCCGAGGGGTAAGTGCAGTGTCCAAGCGCCCAGCCTGTCAGAGTCCTGTAGGTGAACTAGCACATTTTTCGGCTATCAGAGCCCCTTCTCTGCTCAGGTAGGTGCCATTTCCCCAAAAATGTTTTGCCAGTTCTCATTCACAGCTGTTATCCCCCCAGTTCTTGTTGACATGTGGGTTTACATCTTTTTAATTCCTTCATTGTCATTTCGTTCAGGATTCAGATGGGAGGAGAGATGCACATGTGTATGCTCTATTTACCATATTTGATCCAAAGTCCCTCCTTTTTATATGACTTTCCAAAATCACACATCCAGGCCTGGGCACAGAGAATACCCTGAGCTATAGTTCAGATCCAGTCTGTAGTAGACAGGAATGTCATGCCTCAGAGGTCCCTCTTCCCCACATCGGGTTCCCCCTCTGCCCAGCAGTTGGGTCTCCTGGTCTCTGAAAATCCTTCCCTGTGCCCGGCTCAGCCAGGCCAGGGCCAGAGAGCCCTGCAGGGAATCGTTGCCCCTTGAGCAGCCGCTGAAACGCCAGGCAAGGAGCTTGGGAGACAGACTCTCAGCACAGCTTTTGTGCAATGAATTGAGACCCGAAGCAGGGATTTTCCTATCTATCCACAATGCTCAGATAACTCCAAAACTGCCCCATTACTTTCATTAAAGGAAAAAATAAACAAAGAAACAAACGTGGGGTTCCGTTTCATGGAAATCTTGTCAAACAGGAAAGACTTCACGTATGCATTTTCCTCCTCATCTGCCTGCTCAACACACACCAGTTAATATTTCTCAAGTTCTCACAAGCTATCCTGTAGAGAACTGGACAGGAGCAGTGTTTCCTCAAGGAGTGCGATAACTAGAACAACAGCAAAAGGTTTAGCCACCAAGAAAGCGTCAAACGATATTGTAAGAGCAAAACGACCATAATGACCCCTCCCCCAAACAACAACGACAAAAAACACTGCAGATAAAACACCCCCCTCTTTATTTTATCCAGGTGAGAAAGGCTTGCTTGTGAGCATCTGAATTTCGAAGGTCCTTAAGAGATTTATTAGGAATTGATTTGCGCCTACAACTTATTTATTTATTTTTAATCACTGCAATATTCATGAAATGTCAGTTTTACACAATGGCATCAACAGTGAATTAAAAACAGCGTTTCCATTTATTTTCAGGCAAAGGTTGGCAAGAATGTGGATGCTATCAGAAATATGAAGGTCCCTGCTATGGGCTGAATTGTGTCCCCAAATTCATAGTCGAAGCCCTAACTCCTTATATCTCAGAATGTGGCTGCGTTTGGAGATATGGCCTTTATAGAGGTAATTAAGGTTAAATGAGGTTATACAGGTGGGCCCTCATCCAGTCTAACTGGTGTCCTTATAAGAAGGAGAAATTTGGACACACAGAGAGACACTAGGCTGTGCATATGCAGGGAAATGACAATGTGAGGACACAGCAAGAAAGTGGAGACTTGCTAACCAAAGAGAGAGGCCTCAGGGGAAACCAAGTCTGCTAACAGCCTGATCTTGGACTTCTAGCCTCTATAACTGAGAGAAAATACATTTCTGGTGTTTAAATCACCCAGTCTGTGGCATTTTGGTATGGCACTCCTAGCAAACTAATATTGTTCGTCTTTTACCATATCTGATTTAAAACTTGGATGTAACAAAGAAGAACATAAAAATAGTAAGAATAAGACCCTTCTAAAATCCACTTTTGCTAACAGCAGTTGAAAAATCAGGTATTAGATCATGGTTAAGAAACTTGTCACATATGGAATCCCATTGTCCCTGTCACCTGTGAGCTGAGGTGTTGAGTTGGCCTGAGGTTGGGCTTCTAGGTTTGGAACTTGAAGCCTCAGACTCCAAGTCCCCTCAGCGCTTGTTTTCTGAAGCTGGCAGGGAAGGGAACGTAAGTGGAAGTTCTTAAAGGGGAGGGGAAGAGTAGATTGAGGTTGTTTGCTGGTGTCAGGGGTCCGTGATGGGAAATGAGTTTGAGGGTCCTTTCTGCCCTGTCCCACACCAACCAGCATGGACAGACACAACTGGGCTGGTGGGACGCTGCAGTGGACAGCTTGAGAGATGCCTCTCACCCAGAAGATCTGTAAGAGGCGGAGTGCCTTGGGGTCACCAGGGCCATCTCATTTCCATCATTCAGGCTGAGTGAGAAAAGAGAAAGCATGGCACTCGTATAACTAGATACTAAAAGCGTTTGCATCCATGCTAGTAACCTGACTGAGCAAACAAATGGGCACTGGCTTGTTTGTGGCTCCAGTCATGGAGGTTGCAGGTTGTCACAACTCACTGGAAGCCAGCAAGGAAAGCCGGACACATGTTTAGGCTGTTTTCACCATCAGAGAGTGCGTCACCCTGTCTGCGAGACCAGAGCTTGTGCTGACCAAGGTCCTAGATTCAAACAGTGAACAACAAACAACGATAGAGAAGAGCAAAATTGAGGGAGAGTCACAAGGACAAAGGATCCCAATTCCACTGTGGGTCTGCTCCCAGCTCCACCTCTGCTACTGTCTAACCCTGTTGGTGCATCAAGGCTTAAGGGAGCCTGTAGGTTTCTGCAAATGTGATGTGGTTTCTAATGGATACACTGTGAATTCACTGAAGTGAAACAAAAAAGACGTGGAAACCGAGTTAATACTTTTAGGTTTTATTTAAATAGGCGGGGATGCCTGAGATGCACCCGGGTGAGGTGGGCGTCTCATTTAGGTGGGAGAGTCAAATCAAGGACTGAAAGTTGGGGGTGACCAACAAGACTATGGCAAGCATGTTTGTTCTCCCTAAATGCATGCTTATTGCAAGAGTGCCGCTCTTTCTCTGGTGCTTGTTAAATACTGTATTTATGCTGTGTATTTGTATACAGTGGGATTAAGGGACCAAACTGAATTACTGATGATGGTTGCTTGAAGGGGTGTTTGACTAGGAGATTTACACAGCGTTCTTAATAATCTTTTTTTATTTATTTATAGAATGTTATCATTCTGAACGTACAGTTATGCCATCCCTTAGGAAAGATGCTTTCTATTTGAGGACCACAAGCTCTGCATGTTGATTTGAAAAGAGATAAAAGAGCATCTGGCCACCACAGTACAGGCTGCACGTTCCCTCCCTCTTCATTATGCAGAGAGCTCATGCAATTTTTGCTTCTTCGCTATTTATACAAATAAAGACAACGATTTGGGAAATATGTCATGCTGGCATTAAACACCACCAGTCTTGCTGGGTTGAAATGTACACGTTCCATTAACAACAATTATATTGTATAATTAAGGTTTTGGTCCCCAAAGTCTGACTCGGAAGCTTCCTCAAATATCGATGGATTTATTGAAGACAGGTTAAAATAAATATACCCCTCCCATCACCCCCTTCCAAATCCCCACTCCCCACCCCCTCCCAAATCCCCACCAGTACCTGTGTCAATGACTGGGTGTGCAATAAAAGTGGGGTTCAAGTGCCCTCTAGTGTAGCTGTGGCTGAGTTAATATGAAAACAGAAAAGCTTTGAAAAGGCAGTTTCCTGCAAGCAGATTCATGCATGCATTTTTCAGAGCTCCCATGCATGGGTTCCACGTGATGGGCACTGCATGCAGGCAGATGACGTGAACAACCCCTTCAGGAGGAGGTTGTCCATGTAGTCTTACTACTCTCCATCATTCTTTTGTGGACTTCTCAGTTCAAGTTTAGATGGAAATTTCCTGAGGTGTATGCAATCTTGGCCCACACGTATGTGCAAACAGCCACAGGGAAAAGGCTAATGAAGTTCAAGCCCTCGCACCTGGGAGTGTCTCCTGACTGTCCTTCCCACCCCATAGCCTGGGCACGTGTAATTCTTCTAGCAGGTGGAGGGAGCTCTGACCTGTGTCTCATCAGTGAGTGCTGGTGGTGGTGACAATAATGAATTTCTAAGGGCAATTAACACAGTGACAGGGTTCATAAATTATAGATTATGACAACACTCATTGCGATCTGGTTTTTTCCTGTGAAGACCACCTGGCTATCAATAATGGTCTCACGAGCCAAATTCTATATTTGGGCCAAGATGAAAGAAGAACAACAACAACAAAAAAGGCTGAAAATCCTAGTGCAGACTCACTTTTTGACAGGAGAATAAATGTTGGCTTAAGTACCCAAGAATGGAAACAAATCAGGTGGAGAGGAGGAGGGAGAATGTTAGAACAAGACACACCTGGTCCAGCTATGAGAGTCTGGTTAGATAAGAGTAAGAATAGAGGTGTTTTTCTTCTCTAAGTCTCTTTGGCAGGAATCTGTGAGCACAGCTATGACGCGAAGAGCAATAAAGTTAATCTTCATCACTTTGTGAGTATACATGTTCTGGAAAAAAGTTGTGATTGGGAAAAGTTGGGAGGGGCTACCTGCTCCGTCATTCCTGGATGGATGGCATGTGGGTGCCTTTGATGTGTTTCCTTGCTGAAGGTCAAAACCAGGTAGATTTTCTTCCAGAATTGGATGGTTGTGCAGAGACAATTCCTGGATAGGCCGGACACACAACACACAATTCTGTTTTCAGTTACTCTTCAGAACTGCTAGGAGCAAAATGGCTCAGGATAAAAAAGGGAAGTGTGTTGAAATTTTTGGTATACTTCCTAGAAATCTGGACGCAGGAGCAAGTTGTGGAGGTGAAAATGTTAAGGGGGTTGAACAGATATAAATAAATTCATACTAAGATGAGTAGGGCAAGATGGATTATTTTGGCGAACTCCTATGGCAGAAAATATTGATTGCTTAGCCCAAAGCAACCATCTCATTCTTCCTTCCTAGTAGAGCAATGAATTAGCTTAAGAGTTGGATTTACAAGAGCGTCAGAGACCCATCCTGAGCCTAGGAGGCAAATGTTGATACTGTGAGACAGTTGTGGAGAGTGTACAGGAAGTCTTTAGGAAATGTGTCCCTTGAAACATACAAAGGGAAGCCTGGGAGGAGTGCGTCCTTCTTTGCTGGATGCCATGTCTGTCTGCACCAACTGCAATTGCTGTAGCCAACTTGCCAATATAAAGGAAGGCTTTATCAGCCCGCTGAGCATAGCAGAGTGGAAAAATACAAAGCACCCCTAACTCTTGGGAGCTGACCACCTTCAGACTTCTTGTAACAGCAGGTAACACATTTTTCTCATTGTTTATGCCACTTGGAGTTGGGTTTTCTGTTACTTGCATCTGAAAGCATCTTGACTGATACAATCACTATTTGGAACGGTGCATAACAAGAATGTTCTCTTTAAACAATCCAACATCATCAGAGGCAGGTGCTGATAAAGGAATTAAAATAAAATGAGGAGGTCTTTATGATCCCAGTTAGTTTTGATGTGCTACGCTCTAATCCTTGGATCTTTCTGTCAAGGGAAAATATAGAGTAAAAAAAAAGTTCATGGAAACTTTTGGGCTAAACTATTGAACAAACCTTGGACAATGTGAATAAAATGTTCTATATTTGTGATTCACATACTTGTGAAATTTAGACTTGTATTCCTTACAGCACAAAGCAGGGAGTGAAATAGATTGAGATCTCTGCTTAAGCAAACCAATGATTATAATTGACAAGTATAAATTGTTTTCAATTGTTGATTTGGAGTTATCACATTCTATTAATATTTAAGAATATTCATCCAGATGTCATCTTGAGCCAAGCTCTAAGAATATGCCATGTGCCATAAAGGTGGAGTTGATAATGTGTTTTTTGACTAATAATCATAAATAAGTAGGGTTTTTCTGGCAAGATGTAGCTTATACTTTGTAATGTACAAGTGTACGTTATAATATACTTATTAGGTAATATATATTATCAATGTGTATATTATAATGTATACCAGTAAATCCTTTTTAATGTACTTCAACATTTACAGCCTTGATAAGGGAGAACAAATGATGTAGTCTATGTGTACATATATGAATAGAGTCTACTGTTGCAATAAAGTAAGATTTAGGAAAGGTTAATCAGATACATATTAAGTTATAGTTGCATTGGTCACAAGTAACAAGCAGTTTACAGAAAGCAACTAATTCTAGTGGGACTTTATTCCCAGATTTTCCAAGTCTCTTTCAATTTCAAACATTATGTTCTTTTGTGAGAACAATGTGTATTGATTTTTGGTTTGGGTAATGTGATCTGCCAAAGGACATAGTTTGCATTAACTCTACCCTATAGCAAGCACTCAAGTTGTACGGAGAGGGAAGGACAGAGAAAGAAGTAGGTGCAGGGGACCTTTCTGGAGCCCCTGGCTCTATAACCCAGAGACACCTGGCCACTGGGCCTCTCCAGCACCCAGCAGGGGCCACCTGCTCCCTAGGGGCACTGGCAACGAATGCTCTTCTCTCATTTCTGCTCTTCCATGTTACCCTTCATCTTCTACTTCTGGGAAAATGTTGTAAGGCAAACTTGACCTCTTCACTGATCTCTGCCCACTTGAAACCTGGGCTCTGCCAGTCTTAAACATCATTCTGTGGGTGCGATCAGTGCATGGGAGAAAATTCTGGAGGAAATAAGTCTGAAGGGAACTCCCAAAGCAGATAACCTGAAGTATAGCCCAAAGAATTGTGTTGGAATAGATTGTTACTTCCTTTTTGAATACTGGGAAGAGGAGGTTGTGGGGAGGGGGGACATTTCATATTGAGAAGATGACACTAGGGAGGGACACCCAGAGAAGAAATGGTTTTGGAGGCAGGAAGACCTATATTTGAACACAGGTCTGGTACTTGTGTGATCTTGAGCTTGAATGTTGTTGAACTGTCATTGGGCCCCTGCAGGTTGTGATCACCAGAGTCAGGGGGCGAGCATAGGGGAGCTCAGTGCAGTGACTGGTTCGCAGTCAGTATCCAGCAACTACTGGAAAAGAAATCAAGGCAATAAGTCAAGGAACATGCTCCCTAGTGATCTGAAAGTGACATGAAAATACTCCTCAAAAGAGATGTTAAGTATGAGGAAAAGCTGTGTTCTGACAAAAGGCAACCTGAAACCTATTGGATAATAAAATAAATTACAGGAGCACAGCAAATCCAAGGATCTAATTGTCATACCAAGAGATGGAGCTTTTACTTCTACGACGTGCTCTGAATTAAGAAGTTTCATTGGTTAAGTTCTTAAGAAGATGGCTTTTTGAAGCCCCATTTAAGATGTAGTAGCAACATTACTGAAGAGTTAATTAGACCCTTTTGGTGTCTTGGGGTGGACCTTGAATCTTATATTGAGAATCTCTCAAATGAAAAGCATTTTTAGGTGTTAAATTGGAGGCCCTTCCAGGCAAGCCTGCAGCAACACAGAAACCAAGCCTGGCCTACCCTTTTTGCAATTTTCTTTTTGGGTTCCCCCCACCCCCCCACCCCCGGCTTTGGTTTAAGGCAGCGGTGCAGAATTGTGTTTTTCTGTGTCATTATTTCCCTGGCACTGATAAAGTCAACACATTTTTTTAGTTGTTTTGTCTTTTTGTGTGACACTGGATCATTTTAGGTAAACAGGGTGCTTTAAGTGAATCATTAAAATTGTCTGTTTTTCTCTTAAGGAACCCTCAGGAATGGAGAGCTGAAAGTGATAGTGTTACCACTTAAATAACATGGCTGAAGCAGGGATGAGAAATATCATGGGCTGCTAGTGATCAGATCTATCAACGCGTGGAATGTAGAGCATCACTCTGGATTAAGGATGAAACTGCCTTCGAAATACCAGCCAGACTCAGCCTGGAGCCAAAGGAGATTGCTAGAGAGTGGTCCCGCCACACAGAAGACTGGCATTTGAGCCCATCACAACCTATATTGAAATGAGTGGACCAAAATGTGAACTTTCTAGTACTCCAGCTGTACCTGAGATTCCTAGAAGAGCAACATTTCCTGGTTGGCTGTCTGGAGGCATATCCGGTATCTAACTTGTGAGAAAGGACTTTAAAAAAGAAAGAAAGTGAGAAGTGTCCAAATTTGGCTAATAAACCAGACTCGTGATTCACCAAAGTCATGCCTACTACTCCCTGACCTTACTCATTGCTTAAGTGGCATTAGACTTTTGAACTTGGGCCACATATTATCAAATTTCCTAGAGTGGCAGATAGTATTGGGGAAAAAACACCTCAAATGCAATTTTTTATGTAGATGAGCCAGTGAGTGAGCTTAAGGTCATAGAAATCAATGAACACAATTATGTTTTGCAACAATTACAAAAAGCCCTTAAAAATAAAAATTGTAGCTTTTGCTGCCCAACCAACTGAACAAAGTTATGAATAGTGCTTGTCCTACTGTGACCTGTGGCATTTCCAGCAGCTCAGGTGGCAGCTGCAGGTGGCAGCTGCTCCAGGTCAAAGATGCACCATCCTGAGGTGCTAGAGTCACCTCTACTCTAATCACTCCCATTCTTAAGGGTCTTAGCATATTTTTTCTGGGTTAAGAACCAACTAGCATCTTTTACTTGATAGTGGGGTGAGGTGGGGGTTGACGCATGCAGATAGGCTCAAAGACAACAAGAAAAGTAGAGACATAAAGGCACAGACCTTCTCTAGACCAGAGCCTCATCTGCTGCCCAAACTGTTATAATTTTGGTTTTGCCTGGAGGTACTCTTTACCAGTGGTAAATGCTTGAATCACACAATTTTAATGCCATCCTTCAAGAGTTTTGAACACATTAAAAATGATTATAAGTATTTATAATTTTCATCTCTGTGTTCATAATTACCTATCTATTCCAAATAATATAGCTAGCATTTCTTGGTATTGCTTAATGTGTTTGAAAAAATATTGATGCTATAAGGATTGGAGCAAACATAACCCAATTTTGTTCTCTTATAATGGGGTAAGGTTAAAAGACTGTCTGAGGTTATTATTAATTTATTCTCTTTCAATGAATATTTATGAAGCCCCTTTTATGTTCTAAGCATTGTGCTGGAGGCTACAGATAAAAATAGAAGGGCCAGGGATAAGGTGTGGGTTGCCTTCAAGAAGCCCACAGTCTGGAAGGGAGGCAGACCTAGCATCAAACAATCACAACTGAGTATGGCCCATTGACAATGGAGCCAGGTGCAAGGTGGTGAGAAAGGCCTGGGTGGAGGACTCTGGATCCCAGCTAAGGGCTGTTGGTGCTAGAAAGGGACTTACAGGTTCTCAGAAAAAATAACACTTAAGTGTTATTCAGTTTTTAGAGTTTAAAGAACTTCATCAGTATAGTTATTTATGCTCTTCTCATATACATTAGTTTCAAGCATTTATTAATAGTCATTAATCTGCCTACCAAAGTTAAGAAATAACTTTATATCCATACATGCTTTTCAGTTGCCAATGGGCTAACTTTCATATGCATTTTCTCATCAAAATCCAGTAACCCCATGAGGTGGGTAGATATGGCTTAATTATCATTATCTCCATTTTTCAGATGAGAAAACTGAGGTCAGAAAAGTTAAGGAACTGGCCCTAAGTCATATAGCTAATTTTGAATGATGTGAATCTAAGTATTTCTAACTGCTTAGACCATGAGTGTTCTTCTAGTTTCAGTCCTGAGAAGCCTCCTAGTTTCATTTCACAAGTGGGTTTAATAGGCGTAATGGATTGGCCATTCTCTCCATTTGGACACTCTGGTCCTTTGGATCCTATAATATCTCACTCTGCTTATTTCTTATATATTTTTGATTATTCTTACCCTGTCTCCTCTTCCTGTTAGGTAAGTACTAGTGTCCCCATGAGGTCTGTCCCTATTGTGTTCTTCACTCTCTCACACTCTCTGGGCAATCACATACATTTTCAAGGCATCAGTACCATGTAAAGGTGAGAATTCTCAAATTGACATCTTCTAACTCTGACCTCTCCCCCAAGCATCAGACAAATCTCCCACTGCCTGTTGGATGTGTCCTCTGAATGCCCATGAGAAATATTAATATATATTCCTGCTGAGCGATTCTTCCCTCCAATCAACACTGGGACCTTCACTGTTATTCGTAACTCACTTGATGTCAGCATCTTCCACCTAGATACCTGACCTTTAAAGCCATGAGTTTCTTCTTCCTTACACATCACATCTAACTGGATCACCACATCTCGATTTGCTTCCCTAGGTGTATTTTTTGAAATCTGTTTCCACTTTCTCGTTCCTGCTGCCACTGCCCTGGGTATCTAAATGTGTTCTCCAGTGTGTATGTGGGTTTCTGGGGAGCGTATTGAGGAAAGGGGCAAGTGAAACGTTCACTTATGCATTCATTTGCTAATTAACTCCACAAAAATGTATTGAGACAAATAGATCTCACAGCTATTGGAAAAAATTGGGTTGATCCTTTTGAGAAAATCAGAGTTGACCTGGAAACCTTTGCCTTTGCTCATACTGTCTGGGTCAACTCTGTATTATAGCTCTCTCAAGCCTCTGCACTTTCATGTAGGGCATTGAGCTGTAATCTAGCCAGAAAGCAAAGATTAAATGACAATTCTTATCAATCATGCCCAAAGTAACTTCTGTCAAAACTGCCATCTAAGATTCTACTGAGTAAATGCTTAAGGCTTTGACTCAAAAGATGTTTTGGCCACTTGCCATATCCCTGATTTATCAGACTTTTCCAAAGGTAACTATAAAAATTCCAAATTGTGGTAGGATCTCAGAAAAAAAAATATTAGTGTATCCATTCTGGCAGTATGTTCTTTCCTCTTTGTGAACTTACTTATGTGAAATGCTTACAATTTGTAAAATTAGGCCTTGTTTAGGGAAGCGTTTGTGAATATATTCAGTATTGTATTTACTAAATAGTCTTTTATGAAATGAATGAAGATAAGCAGAATTGGAACTGCTTTGGGAAGACGCAAGCAAACAAATCCCTGGAAAAGGAGAGATTTCCTTTAACTAACCAACTCCTTGGATGCATTTAAAATGTGATTAATTGTCCAAAATACTAAATTATCAACATGTTTCAGGAACATATACTAAGTGCCAAGTATTATTTATTATAGTGATGAGGAATTTATTTATGCTAAAGAATGATTTGATTGTGAGGGTTTATACTCTCATCTTGGTAGGTCTTTGATGTTTGGTTTATGCAAAGTTAATCAGAAAAAATAAGTATGGTGGATTAAAAATGACTATAAATTCATTGTCTTCCATCCCACTGAAAGATGAAACCTCATTCTCTTCTTGAATCCATGATGGCCCTATGACCTGGTTTGACCGATAGAATGTAGCAGAAGTCACTAAGTAACTGCTGAGGCTGAGGCCTTGAGAGCTGCAGCTTCCCTTTTCACTGCTTGGGACATGCCTTCGTGGAAGCCAGCTGCTGTGTAAGATGTGTCATTAGCCTGAGAGTACCATGCTGTCCGGAAGCCCTAGGTAGCCATGTGGAGACAGATAGATAGATAGATAGATAGATAGATAGATAGATAGACAGACAGACAGACAGACAGACAGACAGATAGATAGATAGATAGATAGATAGATAATCGGCCCCCAGCAGACACTGAGGTGTCACACAGGTACATGAAGCCTTCTTGGAACTTCCAGTCTGGTTGGGCCACCAGCTCAATGCTGCTGAGTGACTGACCCCAGCCACTGCTGCATGGAACAGGACTGGTCAGCCTATCTGTGTCTGAATTTCTGCCCAGCAGAATTGTGAGCAAGCAAAATAGTTATTTTTTAAGCTCCTATGTTTTGGGGTAGTTTGTTACACAGCAATAGGTAATCAAAACAATTGGCTCATACCACCCACTGTCTCCCTGAAGGAAGGAGTTTGGTTTGCTTTGGAAACCAAATTGACTGATAAGTCAGAGAATCAGGGCAGAAAAAATGTTCCCAAGGATATCCAGGCCTACATTTCTCAGGTTTCTCTTTTGTTAAGGGTTTCATCTCCCCTTGCCAGTCTGAGAAACCACTTCCTTCAATCTGTCTCCTCAAGAAAACTATTTTTCTATTGTTAATCTTTTATATTGTCTTTTTGTTGTTGTTGCCGTTGTTGTTCTCCAATTTATTTAGTTCTGCTCTGATCTATATTATTTCTTTTCTTCTGCTGGCTTTGGGTTTGGTTTGCTCTTCCTTTTCTAGTTCCTTGAGGTATGATGCTAGGTTATCAATTTGTAATCTTTCTGTCTTTTTGATGTAGGCATTTATGGCTATGAATTTTCCCCTGAGGAATGCTTTTGCTGTGTCCCAAAGATTTTGATAACTTGTGTCCCCTTTGCCACTCAGCTAAAAGAAGTTTTTGATTTCCATCTTAATTACATTCTTGACCCAGTAATCATTCAGCAGCAGGTTGTTTAATTTCCATGACTTTGTGTAGATTTGAATGTTTCTCTTGTGATTGATTTCTAGTTTTATTCTGCTGTGGTCTAAGAAGGTACATGGTATAATTTCAATTTTTTTTGAATTTGTTGAGACCTGTTTTGTGGCCTAAGATAGGATCCATCTTGGAGAATGTCCCATATGCTGCTGAGAAGAATATGTATTCTATAGTTTTTGGGTAGAATGTTCTGCAAATGTCTGTTACGTCTATTTGATTTAGAGTTTGGTTTAAGTCCATTATTTCTTTCTTTATTTTTTGCTTAGATGATTTATCAAACTCTGACAGTGAGCTATTGAGGTCCCTAGCAATTGTGATGGTACTATTTATTTCTTTATTTAGGTCTAGTAAGATATCTTTGCTTAGCTCTAATAAGATTTATGTATCTGGGAGCTCCTATGTTGGGCACATATATGTTTAGGATTGTTATGTCTTTTTGTTGGATAGCTCCCTTTACCATTATATAATGACCCTCTTTGTCTTTTTTACCTTTGTTGGCTTAAAGTCAATTTTAGCTGATTTGAGAATGGCTATACCTGCTCTCCTTTGATTTTCATTTGTGTGGAATATTTTTTTCCATCCTTTCATGATGAGTCTGTGTGCATCCTTGAGGTTTAGATGTATTTCCTGGAGGCAGCAGATATTTGGGTTGTGTTTTTTCATCCACTGAGCCAACCTATGTCTTTTGAGAGGAGTATTCAGTCTGTTCACATTGATTGATAGCATTGATATATGGGATGTTGGTCTGATCATCCTGTTGGATAGTCCCTTATTACTTTGTTTTACCTGTTGTTCTATTTTTTTTTTTAATAGGAGTTGTGAGTTTGGGGTGGTGGTGGTGAATTTACATTGGTGGGTATCTGCTGTGCTGATTTGTGTATAGTGCTGTTCTGAGTATTTCATGCAGAGCAGATCCAGTCATGAAAAATTCCCTGAGTGTTTGCTTGTCTGGAAAGAACTTA